TGTCTTTTTAATATTATTGTTTTACAAAGTTTTACATATTGAAATCAACTATTCACTGACATTTCTCTTTTAAAGTTGAATAGAAAAATTGTGAAACCAATACATGCGTAACAGAATAATGTTAACATCAATGAGATTAAACACACGCGCAGTGCTGTCAAAACAGAGAGCAACAAAAAATGAAACTAAACACACGCTAGAGAGCGCAATTGATGTTGTGAGACTTATTTTTCGAATGGTTTGTTCAACGTTTTTCGAACATGTTCAATTATTTTCAAATGTTTTCAATTTTTTCAATTTTTTTTAAGTTTTCATCAATTAATTTCAATTTTTGCAATTTTTCTACAACTTTTCCTCAACTATTTTCAATTTTCGCAATTTTTCTTCAATTTTTTTAAGTGAATTCCCCCTTGGTAAAAAAAGTATACTTTTTTGCCATTTGCCGCCATACAAAGGGGCACATAACAGGTGTAGGCTGTGGTATTTGCTAACGACATATGCAAGTACGGATACAATGTGCATTTCTATGGAAATTCACCAATAATTCAATTTTCGCAATTAGTGCATCGGTACACGTATTTAATGATTTAATTTGAATGTCTGGTATATACTGGTAGATTTGATGTGTAAATATGCTGAAAGTGATTTTCTCTACCCAGTCAAATATTTTTCTCAATAATCCAAACAAAAAAAATCAATGTCTAATACGAAAGTTTCCCAGAAAGAGAAACAATTGAAGTGCCAGAAAATGCATAAAAAACGTAAGTAAAATATGTTTTCGTTTTAATCGTTTGAATACGCTTTCGATTTAGCAGAGAATTTAAAATGTCTTCAGAAAATATTGAAAATGACTTTTTCCTAGAGTGTAAGCAAAGTGTATTTTACGCTGTTTCTTGATTTTTTTTAAAGCGATCGAATGGAATTCATTAGAATTGATCTAAATCATTTTAAATTACATTTCAACTTCGATGATTCAACATTTCCAAATGATAAAAAGGCAAAATTTATTGTTTCATTGAAAATGCCTTCAGTGCAAGTCCGCAAAACGGACAATTTTAATCAAAAAATTCCTTTCAAAACAATTAAATTCAACGTTTTTAAAAGGAATAACTTCGGTTTTGCGTATGAACATGAAATGCAAGGAAAATCATCGATTCTGTACAAAGAAATTTGTGAACGAAAACTTTGGCATTGAACGTTTATAAAATATTTCAATGAACGTTCATTCAACGAACGTTGTTATAATTTACACAAAGAATTCACATGTGTTGGTGCATACTCTTTGGAATTCGTTTTCCACCCGAGCAAAAGCACGCATACATTAAAAGTATTACAGGCACTTAATTCGCATCAGATTAAAAACACCACACATATGAAACAACGTTAAGCGAGCGAATAACAGAGATAGAACAATTTTTGCCACATCTTCTCGTCGTTCCGTTGAAAAATATTGCACACATACATTAATCTAGGCTAAAGCACACAAGCGTCCTTTGAATGGTAACATTTTTCTCCTCTGAACAGCATAGAATACATACACCTCTTCGTTAGCATCGCCATATGCAGTTTAAGGGGAAACTCGTTCATTCGCGCATAAAAAAGAACGACGCCACAAACTTACACAAGCACATCGCGTATAGTGATCAATTTTTGTTGATCGCTTGTGTTTCCTTCTTCCTTATATACGGTTTTTCTCTTTCCCACGTGGTACTACACATGAACAAACTGCTATGTGTTTCAATGCAAACGCAATAAACGGATTATCTTTTGATTTGTCGCCAATTCGCCGTTCGTATGATGAAGGGGAAACGCGCCTCAGTGAACCAATGAGAAAGTGCGAATAAATATTCTCTAACACACAACGAAAACGCTTGTTTTTCGACTTGCAGCACGTTCAGTCTCTCGCAAGCACTCAGCTCAATTAAGTAAACTTTTTTCAGAACAAAAATTAGTTTCAAGTAAAAGAAATATGCGAAAGAAAACGTGCGAGTGAATACTTTTTTTTCATTGACATTATTCTATCCAATCGTCGAGATTGAGACAAAAAAAAACAGTTTTAGTTTAAAAAAAATTGCTTCGAAAATCGCTTTTTTGCCTTTGTTAATTCTCAATTCGAAAATACCTTGAAGTGTTCGTTTTTTTTTCATAGCATTCCGCAACTTTTGTTCCTTTTATTCAATGTTTGCTGAAACGAAGATTAATTCAATGCAATTGAAAACAAAGAAAATAGCAGAGAAAAGGTAGGAAAACAACATGTTTTGTTAATTTTTTCTTCAAAATTTGTGCGGATAATGAAAATATCGAATAAATTAAAGTGTCGCTATGAACAAAAATCAATGGAAAATTCCAGTCGATTGAAATGAAAAAAAAAAACCATCGCATTTTTCTCGAAAATTCTTAGTGTGCGACCGATCGACTTCTCACAGTCTATCAACATAAACATTGACAATTTATGACATTTGCGTCGTTCGCCATTAATTATAATGCTTAGCGTCTCATATTTCAATCTGGGTAACATAAAATTCCATTGAAATGATGAAACAAAGCAGCATAAGGAAATAAAAAAAATGTATGCGAGTTTCTCTGGAATTTCAATAGGAACATTGACAGTGTTAGTACTGACAAAAATGCAACAACTGTGAACATAAATATCGGCATTTTTTACCGTTATTCAATTTCTAAAATGCACTTATTCAATTCAGTGTCCTACTGTACTTTTTCTCATGAGAAGTGTCGCCAATGTAAAGTCTTGAATTCCTTTCAATTAAACTGTAGTTGCATTTTTGCTAAGGTTTACGTAGTTTGAAAAACAAATAGTTTACATTGAAATTTGCTGCATTGATTTTTGTTCACAGTGAGTCACCGATTCATATCAATGAATAATAAATAAACGCAAGTGTTTGTTTTGATTAAAAGAATTCATCACTTTGTTCAATGTGCAATTTAATATTTTCATTTCACAATTATTTGAAAATTCTGTCACGCATTCCATTCAATCGAATCACGTTGTATCTAGTTTTCTTAAAAATCAAGTGAATTTGAGTTTTTTAGATTTGTTCGGTGACAATCAGACAAAGTTTTGCGCAGCGCTGCTGCCATCCAGAGCATATTAAAATATCTTGCTGAGAATGCGTCGTCCGTCACATGCGAAGGTACGTAGCAGTTTATACATCACAGCGAACAACAATACATGCATTGTTCTCTATTCAATCGTTTGAATGTTTTGAGTCACATAATCGTGAAGAGAACAATGGATTCATTCTTGTTCGCTGTGATGTATAAACTGCTACGTACGTTCGCATGCGACGGACGACGCATTCTCAGCAAGATATTTTAATATGCTGTGGATGGCAGCAGCGCTGAGCAATACTCTGCAATCAGATCTCTAGTGAAAAGTTTTCCGTTCGTGTGAATTCAATTTGTGTGAATAAATCAATCAAATTTCAGTCAAATGTTTGCCTTCTTCTTTGTTTAGTTTGTGACTCAGTGCATTTAATGCAAAATGTTTTCATAAATTCACTTGAATCCAGCTGAAATATGCTTGTCAATAAAAAATAGATAAATCATAAAGAGTTCAGTGGACACATTCTTCGGCAAATTTTCGGATTTTTACTTTTGCATGAGAATTCAAAGCGAACATTGTTTAATTCAAACTACGCACAAACACAAAATAACTTATTTTCAATCAATGAGTGCTTTTAAAATTTTAAAATCAATTTATAACTTGAAGCGAACCGTTTAGCGAAGTGAGTTTGCATTTAAATTAGCTATATATTTACATTTCTGAAATAGACAAAAAATGAAGAATTTGCAATGAATCAGCCAATATTCTTAGTAAAAACCAAGTTTCCATTTTTTGATTTACCTATAAGCAGTGCGTTTTTTTTTTTTTGAATAGATAGAAAGATTTTTTTGTGTGCTGTATAAAAAAAATGCAAAAGTCTGATCACAATTGTATGGAAATGTGATGAAATGAAACAAAAATCATAAAAATGTCAAAAAAATGAATCAATTAAAAATCTCTGGTTTCAGTTCAATGTCGCCATCGAAGTAAGTGTGCATTTTCTTTGAAAACAATTTTTTTAGAATTCTGGTTGTTTGAAAGAGCTTTCGATTTAACACAGAAAAAAATACGATTCCGTTCTTGAGAATGAATTTAACGTAATTTTAATAATGTTTCACCGCAAACAACTAACACGCACACAAGCTTCCTTTGTATGGCAATTGAATTCTCCCAACAATGGCATACGATACATACAGTTCTTCGTTAACATCGCTATTTGAGGAGAAAATCCTTTTTACGCGATAAATAATGCGCGACGTCACACACTCACACACGCGCGCCGCGTTTCGTGATCGTCTTTCGCTAATTTCTTGCCTTTTCTCCATCTCACATACCACACATAAGCGAACAGCGATATGCTTTGAAGAAGTGAGAGCGATAAACGAACGCCAATGTTTCGCCGCTCTTTTTATTCGTCGATGTTTTGCATGTATGAAGATGGAGAAAACGCGCCGCAATGAACCAATGAGAAATCACGAACGAGAGCACACAACGACAACTAATTTTTCTTCGCTCAGTTCAGTTTCTCACAAGCATTTGATTCATTTAGTCGGAAATTTTGAAGACTCGTGGTTTAGATTTTGCAAAATAAAATTAAAATTTCGGTGGAGCAAAAACTCTTTTAAAGTGAAGTAAATACTTTTTGCATGGCATTTTTTTTCTATCGATTTAGTTTTTTGTTTAAAAGTGGATTTTATTATGTGCAAAATTCTAAAAAAATAACTCGTGTTGTACTATTTTTGCTGGAAAAACATTTATTTTGGTTCAACCAAACATTGGAACTTTTTCGTATATTATAAAAAGAAGACATTAAAAAATTGAAAACTCGACAAAAGTGAAAAAACGCGCTTGGAATTAATTCGATCTTAAAATTTAAAGAAGTTTTTTGTGTCGATCATTAGTTTTATCAACAAATTTGTTTTTTATTCAGGGAAAAGAATTAAAATGTCGCGACATTTTTGCATTAATTATTTTGGTTCTATTTGATCGCTATTTTTAAAAATGTGCTAAAATATACTTGTCTACTAAATGCAATTGAAAGTAAAATCATCGCCAAGAAAAAAGGCAGAAAAAAACCCGTGTTTTGTGCAGTTTTTGGAAACATTTTTTTGGGTAAGTGAATGAGTCATACAGTCGCTTCATACTGTCGTGTCATATAAAAATAAGTGGAAAATTCTAGTGCATTGAATTAATTGTCACCAATTCTCAGTATACGAACGATCTCTTCTCACGGTCTAGCAGTATCGCACTCATAACATAAACATTGATAATTTATTGCTTTCGACTCTTTGGGAATAAATAAAGTGCTTAGCTCGCGTCTCAAATTTCGATATGAGTGATAAAATAATACACAATTCAATTGAATCGAAGAAACAAAGCAACATGGAGATATTAAAATCAATATTTATTGTATTTATGAGAATTGTCGCTTGGCTTGATATTTTTCGACGCATTTTTTTTTGTTAATGCTTGTTGGTTAAATTCCATTTCGTTTTGTCATTTGAAAAATTGGAAGAGATTGCAGAATAAATGCAAAATATTTGAACCAATTTTCCATAAAAATTTGACTTTCGAAAAAATATTATTTTTCTATTAGAATTCAGAATCTATTTTTCAAATAAATCGATCGTTTTCCTTGTTTTCCAGCTGAAATGTTCCATCAAAAACGGCAACGGTTTGAGAGAAAACCTTTGTGGTAAGATTTTTGATTTTTTTTCTTGCATGAAAATGTTGTTTATTTCAAACCGAATGCAAAGACCAGCACATAGTTTCAGATTTTTGCCTCAAACTTTAGAATATTAATTTTCACGACTTGAATAGAATGGTGTGCATTTGAAGTATTGTAAAACAAATTTGCGTTTGAATAAGCATATATTTTATTTTTTAGTTGAGAGTAGAGAAGTAGAGAGTAATTTTAGAACAGATTGACTCTATTGAATGTGATAAAACTACAAAAATGCTTCTGAAAATAACCGATCGGTTTCATTTTCTGTATACTTAGATTTTATTTTGGAATTACAATTAAAATTCAAATGTGAGATTATTTTTGAAAATAAAATTCAATGATCGGCAAAGGGTACGTGCTCTTCGATTATTTTGTTTGTCTCAAAAGTGACTCACTTCAAATGGACTTTGGCATTGCAAAACATTTAAATTTGAGGCAATTTTCTTCAAATTTCTCAATAGTTCGCATTTAGAAACATATACTTCATACGTATTTTTTGAAATTTCCATTTTAAAAATCTCTTGTCTTCATTTGAACAAAACTATTCGTAAAAAGTAATTTTCTTTTGAAAACTTTATGCTTAATTCAAACGAAACTGCACATCTTAAAAATGCAGACCTGCTGTTGAATTTTTTTGCCAGTGCGATCGTTCGAAATTATATAAAAAATAGTCTCAAATCACTTCATTGTAGACAATTCCATTTCCAATCAAAAGGTATATTTCGTTCGGAATTGTTTAGTAGAATCGTAGCGTAGTGCACAGAGAAAAACTCTGTTTGTTTATTCTTCTAAACATATTGCAATGAAGTTAAATTTTAGAAGTTCTAATGACGTCATCCAAATCAATTTCGCTATTGTTCCCATTTTGGCAGAGTTCGTCATTGACACTATAGATGGATCGTCCTCAATAGGCAGCTCTGTATTTTAAGAAAAACCAAAAATTAATTGAAATGTGAATTGTTTTTTTTTTATCAAAAAAGGCAAATCAGTTTGAGAGAACACATTTGTGGTAATTTTTTTTAGTTTTTTTCTGCATGGAAAATAAAAGGACATATTGCGTAATTCAAACTGCATACAAAAACATGCATATACTTTCAAAAGTGTGCTTTAAGCTTTTGAAAATCCATTTTCAAGTCTTAAATAAAATTTTGTGCATTTGAAGATAGTAAAACGGATACGCGTTTGAATAAGCATATATTTCAGTTTTCAGTTGAAAGTAGTAGAGAAGTAAATTGATTGTAATTTTTGATTGACCGAAAAAATATTATCCAAAAGAATAGAAACGATTTCATGATCAAATCGAATCAACTGAAATACACATGTTCACCGGTTATTTGGTTTTTCTCATAACACGCTCCCGCTTTCTCATACAAACACACAAATATTTCATTTTTCCGAAATTTCCAATTTATTCTTTCAAGCATTCCGCCAAACATCAAAAGAACGAATAACATTAAAACGCACCATATTTTAAAAAAATTTAACTTTTGTAAATTCAAAAAAATATAAAAAGAAAACACTGAACAGTATTGCTACGAAATTTGATCGACTTAACGATTTAAAATGAAAGATATCAAAGAGTCTCATCTCATAAATATAGCGATTGTTCCTTATCATTATCATTTTTGGTTTATCTATTTCAAACTGTTTTATTTCTTATGTTATCGATTTTTGGTACGTTTTATAACAATCGTGCGTCTAGCAAATGGGGAGCTTTCGTTGTTTTTATTCGTTTTCTAATTGTACACGAAGTAAATAGTGTTAGAAAAAAATTCATTCATTGAATTGAAGTTTAAAAATGGAGATTTTTTATTGAAAATGAGCTCTATTTTAATTTGTTGGAGATTTATTGGTCATCAAGGAGAAAATGGGAGAGAAATTATTTCATTTTGCTAGGGTTTTTGACTGAGAAAAGATTCTTCAATTTGCTATGGATTTTCGCCTAAAAGAGTTATCTAAAAAAAAAATGTTGCTTTTGCACGAATGATTTAAGTCCATATTAATTAGAAAACAGCGTTAGACTAATAAATATAGATTTGAATAATTTTTTTCAAAACATTTTTAGTCATCATCCGAAAATTTAGTCAGCCAAGGTAATACAAAAAATTTATAAATAGTTTATTTAGATATTGAATACCAAGAAAAAATTAATTTCAATTCAATTTCAAAATTTTGTTTTTTTATTGCCAAGTTATTGACGAGTTTATTTTGAATTGAAAGTGTATAGGCGGAAAATTAATTCAATTTCTATTTTTTTAATTTAAGAGAAAATGCTTGTGATTTGGATTTAAAAAAAATCAAAAATATATACAAATGTTCTGCTTTATCAATTTACGTTAATTTAACTCAAAACAAGGCTCTGTATAGAAAGATTTATTTGCATCACGGTTTTTGTGCAATATACTATTTTAGATTGATTTAATAAAGTGTTCACGAAATATTGATTCGAAGTTTGCAAACTGACTATTAAAAATTCCATTTTGAAGTCAAAACTTTTATAAAATCAGCTATTACAATTCATGTGTTACAGTTAATGTTTAATTGAATCGATGTTGTCGTTATGTTGTGTCGCTGCAAATTGATGCGTTGATGTCGCCAGTTTAAAATATGTTCACTTGCAAGCAAAAGGCATTGCGTACCGTCGGAAACTATCATCTGCCTGATCGTATTCTGGCAAAAAGAATGAATGAACCACGTCGAAAAGAGCAAAAAGTAAAATAGAGAAGAGGCAAGAAAAGTGAATGTTTCGTCACGAATCTTGGCATAGGATTCCGAAGCTTTGGATTCAAGCAACGATTGGAAACGCTGTAGTTCAGTGTTTAATTGAGTAGGGTGGCGCCACCGTCTATACATACAAATGTCCATTTAAATCAGCGCCATCTACGCTAAAACATACTTTTGGTTGAAAATAAAACGCCATCATATTCCGACATTGGATTCAAGTCTTGGAACAAAGTAAGAGAAGCGAATATTTCACCAAGCGAATTGAATTTAAATCTAGTGCTGGACAAGTGCTAAGAAAATTCATTAAATATCACGAATAAAAAGATGGAAAAGAATTATCTGGAGCGATCACACGTGATGGTTCTAACGCCGCAGACATAAGCTTGCATGATTTGAACACTCCAAAAACTGAGTGGCTATCGACTAGGTCCGAATCAAATACAGTAAAAGTTAGACGAATTGATCGATTACATGCTTCTGACACTGGTTGTTTGATGGTTGTATAAACATGATACGGAGTTTTGATTGATAAAAATAAAAAAATCGGCGCTTAAGTCCAACTTTGATCACATTCTAAACACTTTTAACAATAAAATTCCAAGTAAATGAAAAAACCAGGATGCAAATGAATCAAATAACTTCACTTTTTTGTATCTTAATCAGAAAACAGATATGAGCAGATCATTTATGAGAAAATAAAATAATGGAACAAGTAAAATTAAAAAATTGAAATGTTTCAATTCAAATCGCACAATTTAAGGGTGCGCAAATCGGTATGGGGTTCCAAATATACCAGCGGTGCACCCCTGGTGGGTACATTGGACATGGTGCCTGTGCAGTAAAATGATTAGATCAAATTAGGGTTAACCATGCATCGATTATCTGTTAATTCTTCTTGAAGATGCACTTTTTGCATCCTTTGATGAAATTTTCTTGAACTATAACTAAATAATTCTTTGTCGTCTATGGAGATTAAATGGGGGGTTTCGATAAAGTCAAGTTTTTGTCCCTAGCACCTGAAAATATTTTTTTAATAAAATTAAGGTGTTTTCCTTCAATAAAAAAATAAGTATTATCACAGATGTGCTAATGAGAAATCCACCGCAATATTCATAAATTCCAACCAAAGCCTTATGAAAACTAGAAGCCTTACGAATGTGTAAAAAATATTTGTATTTTTTTGCGTCCAGGTATGGAGAAAATTTTAATCCAACTGTGGGTGCCTGTGGAAGAAAAAAATTTGTAAAGAAATTTCAAACTTTATTCATTAAATGAATGTAATTCCTTACTGTCTCGTCCATTGTAGAGTTCTGATTGCATTCGTCTGGAATTAACTCAGCGCCTTGGTCAGTGGCAGCTGAAAAATAATAGACCATATTGGTGCTCATTGTTACAACAAATATTGTACAATTTAAAAAATAATAGAAAAAGTGATGGACCTAATAATATAATAATATCACTTACCTATGTCTACGGCCATGTTATTTGTATCGGGAATACAGCCGAGCAGTCCTCCACGTTAGTGATGTTTTTATTTAAAAAAAGAAAAACAACACCAACAACAACGAAAGGGTGATTGTCATAAAAAATGAGAGTCTGAATTTAAATTCCGGAAATCAAATGAATTGAACCAAATTGAACTTATCTTGCCATCATATTTTTTTTCTTCTAGAATGAATCGAGAATCGTTTTAGAGAGATCTTTTACTTTTCAATTTCAACTTAAATAATTTTAAGAGCTGTAACCAGAAACCGATTAGCAGACGAAATTGAGGAGGATAAATTTGCAGTAGTGAAGTGAACCGGTTTGACATTTCTCATACAAACCGATTTCGGAGCGGTATCTCGGAATTGGTTTCGTTTTGTGTGAACGAAACGGAGCAACCGGAACGTTCCGAGAGTGGTTTGTATGGCGACGTATATTTACGTGAATAGCAATGCACACTAATACACACACAGCCATTGAACGGTCGTGTGTATACTAAACATTGTCGGAACGTTCCGATTGCTCCGGTTCGTTCGGTAAGTAAAACCAATGAAATGGTTTGGTTTTGGTTCACTTCACTGATTTGCAGTTAGATGAAATGAGGAAAAATGATGCATTATTTAGCATAAAATTAATCACGTGAAAATAACGAATAAACGTAATTGTATAACTTTGTCAGTTAGTTAACTAGTTCATAAATGGAATCAGCCAATATAATGATCGTACACGAGAGGCGCTTTTATTGCTTTGGATTCAATTTC